AGAGAGACTAGGTAGAGTATTATATAGAGACTAGGTAGAGTATTATATAGAGACTAGGTAGAGTATTATATAGAGACTGAGTAGAGTATTATATAGAGACTAGGTAGAGTATTATATAGAGACTAGGTAGAGTATTATATAGAGAGACTAGGTAGAGTATTATATAGAGACTAGGTAGAGTATTATATAGAGAGACTAGGTAGAGTATTATATAGAGACTAGGTAGAGTATTATATAGAGAGACTAGGTAGAGTATTATATAGAGACTAGGTAGAGTATTATATAGAGAGACTAGGTAGAGTATTATATAGAGAGACTAGGTAGAGTATTATATAGAGACTAGGTAGAGTATTATATAGAGAGACTAGGTAGAGTATTATATAGAGACTAGGTAGAGTATTATATAGAGAGACTAGGTAGAGTATTATATAGAGAGACTAGGTAGAGTATTATATAGAGACTAGGTAGAGTATTATATAGAGAGACTAGGTAGAGTATTATATAGAGACTAGGTAGAGTATTATATAGAGAGACTAGGTAGAGTATTATAGAGAGACTAGGTAGAGTATTATATAGAGACTGAGTAGAGTATTATATAGAGACTAGGTAGAGTATTATATAGAGACTAGGTAGAGTATTATAGAGAGACTAGGTAGAGTATTATATAGAGAGACTAGGTAGAGTATTATATAGAAACTAGGTAGAGTATTATATAGAGACTGAGTAGAGTATTACATAGAGACTAGGTAGAGTATTATATAGAGACTGAGTAGAGTATTATATAGAGAGACTAGGTAGAGTATTATATAGAGACTGAGTGGAGTATTATATAGAGACTAGGTAGAGTATTATATAGAGAGACTAGGTAGAGTATTATATAGAGACTGAGTAGAGTATTATATAGAGACTAGGTAGAGTATTACATAGAGAGACTAGGTAGAGTATTATAGAGAGACTGAGTAGAGTATTATATAGAGACTAGGTAGAGTATTATAGAGAGACTGAGTAGAGTATTATATAGAGACTAGGTAGAGTATTATATAGAGACTAGGTAGAGTATTATATAGAGAGACTAGGTAGAGTATTATATAGAGACTAGGTAGAGTATTATATAGAGACTAGGTAGAGTATTATATAGAGACTAGGTAGAGTATTATATAGAGACTAGGTAGAGTATTATATAGAGACTGGGTAGAGTACATGGATAGGCCCTGGAAGACTAGGAGAGGAGTAAGGAGCACGGTGACACCAGGCTTTTCAAAGTGCAGGTTTGTCTGAATCTATCCATCACTCCTTTCTGTCCCTCAGTCACTGTGCCCTCCCACCTGCCCTGTGAACCCGTGCATTTGTAAACAGACCGACAGACAGACAGACAGACAGACAGACACACACACACACACACACACTCTCTGCCTCCAGTCATCAAGCAGGTACACGGTTTCTTTGACAGGGCCTTTGAAGCCTCGGTTTCCTCTTTGGCCTCACCTCTGTAGCTTCCTACATCCTCTGGACCACTCTCTGTTTCCCAAACACATCTCTTGGGTCAAGTCTCTTTGCTTCAGTATTCTCAGTGTTCCCTGTGTCTGGGATGTCCCTTCCTCTGCTATGTCCCCAAATACCCATACAACCCCAGAACCCAGTACAGCCTCAACTAATATTAGAAGATGGACAAATACTTGCCCAATGGAGAAATCCAAATTTAATTTGATTTAAGATCAAGATCTCTCTCACTACCCCCCCGCCCCCACTCTTTCAGCTTGACCTCATGGCCCAGGCAAAAGAAGGATCTGTCTCTCTCATTAAATTGCAGAGCCTCATGTGGAGGCTTGTGGATGACACAGAGCATGAGTGGTTCGGTTAGTAAACAGTAGTAAAAGTGAAAAGCAAGTTGGTCCAGTCGGTATTACCGTCTTTGTTTTAATAATCCGTGCGTCGTAGGCTCTAAGAATTCCCAGAGGCCTTTTGGAGCCAAGCAAGAAAAGGTTGAGCAAGTTGAGGCTCAGCTGCCCGGGGCCCAAGGCAGCCTCATCTCCTGCACGGCATCGGAGCTGTCAAACCAGAGCTCTCCCAGGCGTTTGCAAACAGCGTTTGTTTCCCCAGATTCTAAAGGCATGTTTTCCAACATGTCAGTGGGTGGAGTCCATTTTTCTTTCTTCGATGGTACAAGAAAACAAAACAAAACTATGTGACATATGTTCTAACCAATACGTCCTTAGATTTGAAGGGACGCATCATCAGCCATAACCAGAAAAAAAAAATACACAGCGGTCAGGCCCACCCTCATTAATAATCAAAGGAATGCAAATTACAGCTGTGGAGAGGAGAACACGGCCCCCTATTATATGAGACAGATGCCATGATAAGAAGGTGCTGTGGTAAGAGACAAAGGAACTAGGCCCCTCCCCACAGTTCAGAGACGCCCCAGGCTGCTGTAAATGTTGGGGGACAGGGCGTTTGTTGACACATCAAAAATATTCTTGCCCTTTTTTTTTTTTTTTTTTTTTGGTTTTTCAAGACAGGGTTTCTCTGTATTGTTTTGGAGGCTGTCCTGGAACTCACTCTGTAGACCAGGCTGGTCTCAAACTCACAGAGATCCGCCTGCCTCTGCCTCCCGAGTGCTGGGATTAAAAGCGTGCGCCACCAACGCCCGGTTTATTCTTGCCCTTTGACCTAGGAATTTACCCTGGGACAAACTCCCGTTTGCACTTAGGTGTTCTTTAGCAAGCGAATCCTCAGAAGCCTGATTGGACTGTGAGCACACTTCGTTTGGCAGCTGCTGATTTGATACATGAAGGTGGTTTTATGTAGTTGAACAATCTACAATACCATTAATAATTACAAGTAATTACAAATGTGTGTGTGAGTGTGTGTGTGTGTACACGAGCACAAGAACAGCTGTTTGCAAGACTCCCCTTTAACAGCAAAACTCAGTCTCCTTCTGATTCAATTTTCCCTTTAGAAACAATTCCAGATTGAAAAGCCCGTGGTGTTAATGAGGAAGACTGAGGTTAATAAGATTGCAGGTGTTCTGTTTTCACAGCCGAGTTAGCTTCTGGAAAACAGGCCATTCCAATGTCATTGCTTCGCTCTGAAGATGAGATTATGCCGAAATTATTTCCAATTATCTTCATTCCTACGTTTCAAAAACAATGCAAACAACTCTGCATGTTACCCAGATCTCCGAATCTTACTACGTTTATGTATTTACTTGTGGGTGTCGTGTGCACCACTGCGCGGTATGGAGATCAGAGAACACTTTGGGAAGTAGTTCTACACACACACACACACACACACACACACACACACACACACACACACACACACACACACACACGTGTGGGTCACAGGGATTGAACTCGGGTCGTCCAGCTTGGCAGCAAGCCCCTTAGCCACTGAACCATTTCACCAGCCCTCAGTTCCCTGTTTTAACAGAGCTTTATTCGTGGTCATTCCTGTCACGGGCAGTCCTGCTTTCTCTAACCGTTTGTGCCTGCATGCCGTAGCTTCTGTCGCTGTGACACAATGCTCTGTCGAAAGCGACATGAGGGAGAAAGGAGGTTCACCTTCCAAGCTAGCCCAGATTCTGCCCAGCTGACGATTCACAGTAACAATCACACAGCTACGTTTATGAGCCGTTTGAGTTCTATAAAGTCTGTCCTTTTAGCCTTTAATGTCTCATAGGCATTCTTCTTTTAATTACATGTATGTATGTGTGTGTGTGCACGCATGCACACGTGTTGGGGGTGGTCAGAGGACAGAGTATATAGTAAAATAGAAATGAAATTACATAGTAAAAATGGAGCTAAGTTGGTTCCCTCCTACCATGTACGTCCCAGGGATCCAACTCAGGTCAACAGCCTTAGCCGCAAGCCCTTTACCCTCTGAGTCATCTTGAAAGCCCAGTATGATGCATATCTCTCTCTCTCTCTCTCTCTCTCTCTCTCTCTCTCTCTCTCTCTCTCTCTCTCCCTCTACCCCTCTCTCTCTCTATTTTTGGTTGGTTGGTTGGTTGGTTGGCTTTTTGAGACAGGGTTTCACTGTGTAACTTTTGGAGCCTATCCTGGAACTAGTTCTGTAGACCAGGTTGTCCTCACAGAGATCCGCCTGCCTCTGCCTCCCTAGTGCTGGAGTTAAAGGCGTGAGCCACCAACGCCCTGGTGTCTCAGTATTTTTGAAAAAGGTTTTTCTATGTAGCCCTGGCTGTCCTGGAACTCGCTCTGCAGACCAGGATGGCCTCGAACTCAGAGATCTGCCTGCCGCTGCCTCCTGAGTGCTGGGATTAAAGCATGTGTCACCAGTATGCATTTCTTAAGGACCAGTAACAAATCCAAGAAACTTAACATTGATACGATACAGTCCTCTAAGCCACCGTCCCTATTCTGAGGCAACTGTCCCCAAGAGCATGGTACTCACTAGTCAGTCCTTTGTTGTCTTAATCCGCAAGGACTCATCAGCCTCTCTTGACCTGACTGGTTTTCCAGGGCAAGGCTGGTTATTTCACAGGTCACCTTCAGCGCTTGTGGTATGGTGCTTTCCTCACGGTCTACTTCAACTACATTTGGAGCTAATATCACCTAGGTAACAATGTATCCTTCTCAGGGCATCACATCCAGAGACACACAATGCGGGAGCATTCCTCAACAGCAATGCTGTTAACTTTTGTCACTGGCAATTGCTGGTGCTGTGCCTGTATGTCTATGTGGGAAGCCTCCTACTAGAAGTCAATGATGAACCTTGCTTATGTCCAATTGCACTACATAATATAATGTACATTTACTACATAGTCTAATTTCTTATTTGCTATTGTGGTTTATTTTTTGTTTTTTTGAGACTGGGTTTCTCTGTGTAACGGCCTTGGCTGTGCCGGAACTCACTCTGTAGACCAGGCTGGCTTTGAACTCACAGAGATCACCCTGCCTCTGCCTCCAGAAGGGCTGGGACTAAAGGCGTGTGCCACCACCACAGGCCATAGTCTAATTTCTAATGGAATCATCTTTTCATTGCTTCTATGTTTATTAGTTATAAGAAAAATCCCCACGCAGCTTGGTTTATTTCTAAAACAGACTCCAGAATGTTATTTTAACACAACAGGCCATAACTCATTGTCATCTAAATATATCTCCATGCTCGAAGCTGGTCTAGGTTTGGCCCTGGGGTTCCTGTCAAGCTGGCTTCTGTGCCGTTTTGAAATGCTTCATAATCATTTTCCTCTCTGCTTCTCACATTTCTTTGGCATAGCTCGACATTCCAGACTTATCAGCCATTTCTCCAAGGGGCCTGGTTGCCTTCAGTGGATAATGGCTCTCAGAAGCTGAGCTCTGGGCTGCATAGGTGTTTCATTTTTCTTCTTGGTTATCTGTGTCTTCTTTTTCAAAATAATCAAACACGCATGCCTTCGGGATACACGGGTTCTTTCTCCTCAGTCTTCAAGGGAAGAAAAACAACTCAAGGAGGGTGGGCTGTCACAAATTCCCCGAGGAGCCAAAATTCCTTGGCCCTGGAAGAAAAAAATTTCATTTGCCAACTTTTGAAAAGCCAGAGGAAGTGTCTTCCAAACAGAGGCTGGCCCAGGAAGTTCCTGAGGGGAGTGGGGTAGGGTGGAGGGGCAGGGGCAGGGGAAGCTGTCCTTCATCCTCAGAGGGTAAGGAGGCCTGAGCAGTGCCCATTTGCTGGGTAGGAACAGCAGGCCCCGTGTGAAGACCCAGAGAGACGGCCTCACAGAGATGACAACGGGAGAAGACAGGGCAGGGGCCCCCAGCCACCCTGACTTTCTACTGAAACCCGACAAGCAGCTTGGCACCCCCTCTCATCTTCCTGTCCCCCGAAAGTGTCCATCTGTCCCTGCCCTGAGAGCCAAACTGACCTGTAAGAGAGAAGGACTTGCTGTCCAGGGGCTGCGGATGTTTGTCTCCTTAACTAGTCTGATTAATTCTGGTACGGCCCCTCACGTGACCAACCCACCCCTCTGTTTGCCAGGACCTTGGCCTTCCCTCCAAAGGAGCCCTGCTGGACCTGCCGTGACCTCTCCACAGAAGTCCCACTGTGGGCCTGAGGGAAACGCCACTGCAGGGTAGTCTGAGGCTGAGATCCCCGGAGAGCTGGGGGCAGGGGCTGCCGCATCAGCAACTTCTGAGGGAGCCTGCCCTCCCTGTACCCTGCCGTGGCTGCCCAAAGATGAATAGTGAATGCCACCATCTTCATTTTGTCCCCCATATGAAACTTTTTCTTTTTCTTTTTTTTTGTTTTTTTGTTTGTTTGTTTGTTTGTTTGTTTTTTTGAGACAGGGTTTCTCTGTGGCTTTGGAGGCTGTCCTGGAACTCGCTCTGTAAACCAGGCTGGCCTGGAACTCACAGAGATCTACCTGCCTCTGTCTCCCGAGTGCCGGGGTTAAAGGTGGTGTCACCACTGCCTGGCTATAAAACTTTTTCTTAAGGGTTGGTGATTCTCTCAGTGGTAGAATGCTGGCCTAGCAAGTTCAAGGCTAGCCTGGTCCAGTCCTCAGCTCAGGGGCAGGAGGTGGACCCTTCCTCCCTATAGAAACTTCATCCTATGTGGAACCCGTATGTTTTCTCACGAAAACCTCTCTCCAGAACTCTGCCTGGCCTCCTGTTGAGACCTGGTCTCATAGTGCTGTCCCCCTGCTTCTGTGGGAGCTAAGAGAGCGCTCTGGTGTTTCATTCCTGTTTCCCCTCAGCTAAAACTGCCTTTTATGACAGAGTTCAATATGTACCGGTAGGGAGGGAGAAGGGGAGAGGCGAAGGGGGGAGGAAGGAGGGCATGGGCTAGGCAGCTACAGCTCAGTCAGTGAGTGTTAGCTCATAAGCGTGAGCCCACTCCTCAGTGAGAAAGTCCACCTTAATTGGAGAGTTCCAGCTGGTGGGAGACTCTGTTGGGGGTGGGTTGAGATAGAGACAGCCACTTTGGAATGACACTTGAGGATGGCCTCCACAAGCGTATACACATATGTGCCCTGTGTGTGTGTGTCTGTCTGTCTGTCTCTTTCTGTCTGTCTCTGTCTCTGTGTGTGTCTGTTTTATTCTCTGTTTCTCTCTCTGTCTCTGTGTGTGTGTCTTTTTCTTTGTCTCTCTATCTGTCTGTGTGTGTGTGTGTGTGTCTGTCTCTTTCTCCCTCTCTCTTTCTGTCTCTGTCTCTGTGTCTCTCTCTCTGTCTCTGTGTGTCTATCTCTGTGTGTGTCTGTTTCTCTGTCTCTTTTGTGTCTCTGTGTGTCTGTCTCTGTCTCTCCTGTCACAGCTATAACTGAGGCTGACTAGGCCGATGATGGTAAGAAGGGCCTGGGACACCGTGATTTGGTCTCAAACAGACTTAGTTGAGTGGTGGAGCACACAGAAGCTGTGGCCCATGCTAAGCAGACTTGTGTGGTAGAGTTATGCAATGGTTTCTAACCGAGAATGTTCTACTCGATACAGAGACAGCCGTCTGAAATTATTGTGGCAAAGACACTAAGACTGTTCTGGGTAGAAGGATGACATCTGCCGCCCTGCCCATGGGGTGGATGGAAACGGAGGGAAGGTAGGATCCCTGGTCTTCTGCAAGATGAAATGTAAAAACACTTCTCTGGGATGGAAGGAGACGGGAGGGCAGAGGACAGGGAGTGGTACACCACAAGTATTTTCCCTCATGATTAATTAATTTTCGGAATTATTCATAAAGTCTGATTCAAGGGGGAAAAACACACCAAAATACTAATATGAGCTTTCTATGAACACATGGGAAACATCTTTGTAAGGCTCTGCAGAGACAGATTACAAGATAGCTGGGAATTGGGTTACGGGTGCTTGCCCAGCCTGATCAGGGTCCTGGGTTCGAGTGTCAGATTTGCACACTGCGCACGCACATTCACACATGTGTGCAAGCATGCCATGGAGGGCATGTGGAGGTCAGAGGACAACTTGCTGGACTTGGTTCTCTCCTTCTGCCATGTGGGTCTCAGAATCGGAGCTTAGACAATCAGGCTGGGTGATGGGGACCTTCGTCCACTGAGTCGCCTATTTGAAACTTTGTAAAGTGTATTCATTAACCACTTTCCTGAGGAAAGCTGTTTCCCTGTCATTTAAAGTTCTTACCGGAGGAAGAAATAGAAAGATGTTGAACGGAACACACACACACACACACACACACACACACACACACACACACACACACTTGAGGTTCTCGCTTTCCCACTCAGGACAGAGGGAAGCTTAGCATTTGGGGCCAGCAGGAGGCAGGATATATATGCGGCCCTGAGTCAGCCCAGAGCTCATAAAGCGAATCTTCCTCCCATGCAGCCCCTGCCCCAGCACACGCTTGCCCTAGGCTGGGATCGTCCCCGTCGCCTGCAGGAACTCTCTCTGCCATGGAACCTACACCACCTCCTCAACAGAGTCCCTACATCTCATCTTCTGCCCAACAGACTGTCACTCTACAAACACTCTGAGTCCCGCCTCAGCCCCACCATTAAATGCCCCTCTCTTTTTAAAGCTTTTATCTTTAGGTGTACAAGCATGAGCTGCCAGATGTAGGCGCTGGGGACTGAGCTCTTGTCCCCTAGAAGAGAAGCAGGCGTTCTTAACCACTGAGCCATCTCTCTAGCCCTAAATGTATTTTTTTTTCTTGTAATGGGGATTAGACTCACTGGGACCTTTTAATATACTTCCTCATATTGTAGTGACCCCCCCAAGCATAAAATTATTTTTGTTGCAGCCAGGCAGTGGTGGCCTAACCCTAACCCTAACCCTTTAATCCCAGCACATGGGAGGCAGAGGCAAGTGGTACTCTGTGAGTTCAAGGCCAGCCTGGTCTACAGATCAAGTTCCAGGACAGCCAGAATGACACAGAGAAACCCTGTCTCGAAAAAAAATTATTTTTGTTGCTACTTCATAACTCTAATTTTGCTACTGTTATGAATCATAATGTAAATCTCTGATATATATAATTATATCTTGTTTATACTCTAACAAAGTTTGCCTAAGATCAGAGGGTGGAGCTAGCCACTAGTTAACCATAGAGGTCTGGAGGTCTGTACAGACAGACAGGAAATGATATGGATGAGTGGAGAGAGGAATATAAGGCGGGAGGAAACAGGAACTCGCTCTTTTTGACTGGGAAGTTAGTGAGGTAAAGGTAACTGTGACTGATCCTTCAGCATTTTCCCCTATATCTGACTCCGGGCTTTTATCATTAAGACATATTGGAACTCGTGCTACAGATATGTGACCCCAAAAAGGTCCAGACCACAGGCTGAGAACCACTGCTCTAACCTCTCTCTCTCTCTCTCTCTCTCTCTCAAACAAACAAAACAAAAAATCATGACATTAAACTAAATAAATCACATAATTTATCCACAGTTCCTGACCCAGTAAAATGCTAGCTAGCTGACTCTTCCTCATTTTATTTTCTTATATTTTAGTGTGTATCCAATGTTCATCCGGTGTTCCAGTCGGGACTTCTTAAAGTCTTTTCTAATCTATAAAGTCCTGACTAAATTTAGCGGTGGTGGTGCACACCTTTAATCCCAGCACTCGGGAGGCAGAAGCAGGTGGATCTCTGTGAGTTCAAGGCCAGCCTGGTCTGCAGAAGACAGGCTCCAAAACAATACAGAGAAACCCTGTCTCGAAAAACCAAAAAAAAAAAAAAAAGGTAAACCTCTGACTGCCACTCACAGCTACACCCACATACATCTGCACCCCTACACACACACACACACACACACACACACACACACACACACAAACAGAAAACCCAAACAGGAAGGACACCATTCTTTACATACTTATGTCTTCTACAATGTTATAGCTTGCACAGTGCTTTCTACACAGTCAATATTTAATAAATAGGCAATGGATTTGGATGAGCTCAAAGGGAAATCACTGAAAACTTACTCTTGATCTAACTTCAGTAGGTGAATGTACAGGGGACTGGAGAGATAGTTCAGTGGTTAAGAGCACTTCCTGCTCTTGCAGGGGTCCCTGGTTCAGACCCCAGTACCCACATAGAGGCTCCCGACTGCCCTAGCCATAGTTCCCAGTGATCAACGCGCTTTTCTGACCTCTGTAGGTACCAGGCTGGAACGCGTCCAACATACATATGCAGCAGGCAAAACATCAATATACATAAATACACTAAGAAGAGAAGTACATGGTTTCTGTCAAAAAGTATTGAAGGAGGCCAAGAGAAAAGACTGAGTGAGCCGGGCGTTGGTGGCGCACACCTTTAATCCCAGCACTCGGGAGGCAGAGGCAGGCGGATCTCTGTGAGTTCGAGGCCAGCCTGGTCTACAGAGCGAGTTCCAGGACAGCCTCCAAAGCCGCAGAGAAACCCTGTCTCAAAAACCAAAAAAAAAAAGAAAAGGCTGAGTGTGCCCTGTGGCTTAGAGGCTGGACTTTACCATTCTCTGACCAAGATTCTGGAAGGGCCATTTGCTTCATGTCAAAGCCTTCTTTCTTGTGTCTTTGAAGGGAGATATTACTAGCTCTCACCTCAGGGGCCCCGGGAAGAACAAGTGAGCTTGCGCGTGGCGTGGACAGCCCTTCGTCATTGACTCTTATCATTTTTGTGGTTGTAAGAGAAGACAACGATGATATAATGTGAGAATTCAAGTTAGCTAGGAAAGACCCAATGTGTGCCTAACTAGATCATATTTTTAAAATTCCCTAAGAATGCTTTCCAACCATAATGTTTGTTTAAAATGTGATTGTTTAACTGACGGAGAAATACTTTAATATGATGAATAAGGAGAGAGATGCTGGGCTTGTTTGAGCATCGAAATGCCTCATCGTCAGTTTTACAGTGAGTAATATCCTGCAGCTAGGATGCCAAGAGCGGCCGATTCATTGTGTCGTCATCCAGATACTGAGTGTCTGGTATGTACCACTTAACACAGCACATGCGAAGTACAAGGGTGACTT